CGAGAAGAAAATTATTTTTCTCACTGGCCCATGACTTTGTCGTAGTTTGTATTTTTTTGTTACCGAGATTAAAGGATGCAACGGGGATCGATTGATGGGGAATTTAATTCTCCGTCACACCCTCTGTTTCATTCCTTAATATTAATTAGCCAGCAAATGAATCACCTGAAAAACACTAAGAACATGTTGAGGACGAGTAGGACATAGATTCCCCTCCGAAACTATCCCTGTGGCAGTGGGACTGCTACTGCCGAGTTACCCACACAGGCATTTCGCCCAGCCGTCAGATTCGACCGTGGCGGCATCCCTCCGTTGGGGTCGAACTACTTTTGGCTTGGGATCAATCCAACCCGGAGATCTGAGCCTCTACTTTAGTCAATCTTCTTTGGTAATGTGGCTCGATTCACAGATCTCGAACGGGAACACAAACTTTCGTGTACGAATCTCAGTATTCACCTGTGAACCTTGTGAATCGACTTCGTTCACCGAAGTCATTTTCAATTCACAAGTTGAAATATTCTCACTATAATTGTAACCTCTTATGCGGGACCGAGACATTTATTAATGTTGTTTCATAATTTTGTTCGCCAACATCGTGATATAATTCGGTGAAATGGATAATTTGCGGAAGTATATGGGACATTCCATGTCAACTCAGCCACCCCGGATTTTTTTTGTCTAGAAACAATGATTTGATTGCCGCATTTCGAACTACTATATATAGACAGTATTCCTGCCAAATTTCATTGCCTCATGATTTTTTGTTTCTGAGATAATGACTACTAAACTTTAAATTTTCAAGAATTCATAACTTTTCAATGGCGCATCCGATTCGAACAAATAAAATAATAAAATTTTCGTTTTCGTTCATACTTTCAGGGAAAAACTCATACTTATTCCATAGGCGTGAAGAAGCTTCTACACCTATTTTTCGATGAATTTTTACGTTTTTATTTTTTTTCGGCTCCAGGGCCGTGCGGTATTCGACTGGAATATTTTTTTTCTGANAATTCCTTTGAAATTCTCTTTTGACCATCGAAACAAAGCATCTGGCGTCAGGATGGGTTCACCATGGACGATTTGCAAGCTTCTACGTCTCGCTTTTCCTTTGAAAACAGCACTCACACCGTCACAAGCTCCTTTACCGTGTGCGGTTGCATGGGAATGGGCCTCTCNGACCATCGAAACAAAGCATCTGGCGTCAGGATGGGTTCACCATGGACGATTTGCAAGCTTCTACGTCTCGCTTTTCCTTTGAAAACAGCACTCACACCGTCACAAGCTCCTTTACCGTGTGCGGTTGCATGGGAATGGGCCTCTCCATCTATTCCAAAATCAGTCTTGTGATGCAGAAGATTAGCCATTTGGTAACGATTCTTGTAATGCTGTGCAGCTCCATCGGTGACATAGATGATTCTCTCGACATCTTTGCAGTTATTCTTCACATGTTGTATTAGAATTTTCTGTACCAAGTAAACAGCTGCGGTATCGTGAGTAGTACTATCTGACAAAACAACTAAACTCCGATGCTGGATCTCGTTTCCTTCGCGATAGTAGTAAACAACGGGATGGACTGTACATTGATCATTGTTGTAGTGGAAGGATTGAGCAGCATCTTGAGTCACAAAGGCATAATTTTCTGAGAAATCACAGTGCACTAGTACTTCGCCGTTATTCAAATTCTCTTTTCGATCTTTAACAAAAGCTGGTTGTTCTTTAGCAGTGAAGTGTTTTTGGATTTTGACCCTCTCTACAATTTGTAGAGAGTGGAGAGTAGCCCCCACCAAGCATCCGATCCCAACTCTCTACTCTCTAGAAAAAGTAGATAGTAGAGAGTTGGCCTCAGTTTAAGGGTCAAAAATAATATGGTTCAAATATTCAAAGGTTAGACTTTTCTAAGGGTCTGAAAATATAAGGTTCACAATATATGAATCATAATCTGTAGGGGTTGGAAGGTTTGAGGGCCATAACATTCAGCGTTCACAAAAAATTTCGGGTCTGGGCGTTTAAAGAGGCACGAGGTCTAAGGTTCTAAAGATTAGAGGGTCAGATTACTCAAAGGTCTAAATCCACGAAGCCCAGAATAGTCTTCCCCTCAGCTATCTACTCTCTAAAAGTACTCATGAGTAGAGAATTTGCCCTGTCAGTCCAACTCTCCACGAACTCTCAACTTTCTCTCCCCTTCAGGAACAAATAGAGAGTCGAACTATCCACTGGTTCCACTAGGGTGATGACGCAGTATAGCTCTCATAGAAAGCGAAAAGACGGAAAAATTTTGAAGAGAATTTTTTTCCCGACGCATTGTTTCTCTTTTCTATCGTGACGCATCTCTTTTCGAACTCATATTCATCAAAGGTATGGATTGAAATATCAATTTCTCAACAAAAACAAGGCAGCTCTCCTAGAAGGCGTAAAAACACGAAAATTTAGGAAACAAAAATTTTCTTCGGTACACTGGTTGTCTCTCCCATGATGGCATATTTTTTTTTACATCATATATGGACGTCCTCTATGAGAAAAAAAATATTCCAGTCGAATACCGGACGGCCCCAGAGCCGAAAAAAAATAAAAACGTAAAAATTCATCGAAATTTAGGTGTAGAAGCTTCTTCACGCCTATGGAATATTTTTTTCTTGAAAGTATATTGAAAGTATATTGAAAGTATGAATGAAAACAAAAATTTTCTTTTTTTATTTGTTCAAATCGGATGCGCCATTCAAAAGTTATGAATTTTTGAAAATTTAAAGTTTGGTAGTCATCTCAGAAATAAAAAATCATGAGGCAATGAAATTTGGCCGGAATACTGTCTATATATAGTAGTTCGAAATGTGGCAATCAAATCATTTTTTCTAGACGAAAACAAATCCGGGGTGGCTGAGTTGACTTGGAATGTCCCATATTTATCTTGATCTGCTCCAGAATTTTGAACCAGATGCATATAACGACTTCCGTCCTCGAGTTTTTCATAATGCAGCTACCCCTTTCGAGGAGCTTGCAAACGATCAATTTATAAAAATTTTCCGCTTGAGTAAAGAAAGGGTGTTACATTTGATCGATATTGTGAGTCAATATATGCCGGCGCCGGGTAGACGAACAGCATTGAATATTCGTACCATGGTAAGTAATTAAACAATGATGAAATACTATTTTTCAATTTTCTCTGTTTGAAAAATATAATTTGAGATCGTGCAACAAACTATCAAAGTATCTTGTTTTGTAGCTCCCAAAAATTTGAATCGAAAAATAATTCCATCTCTTCCCTCTAACCTCACACAGTCTGAAGACAAGTAGCCTAATAAGGACTTTTAACCCTTTGACCAACGAATTATTTCTCTGAAATGAGCCATTCATAAAACATTGAAATGAGCCACAAATAAAACATTGGAAAACTTTGATATTGTTATCGTTCTTGAAGAGAAGAAAACAATCTGTTTATTTAGAATTGGCCTCCCTGTGAAATTCAAATGAAAAAAATTACAAAATTGAAAACGAAATAATTCAATGGAAAAACATTCACCAGGAAATTTTATTAGATTCTTATTGAAGATTACGTCAATTTTTCTCTGATCTTGTCAAACTATTTAGCAGTTTTTCGGCTCGTTTTCGAAACACATATTTATCAGAAAAGTCTTTATACAAGGAATCGAATTGAATTGAATTCAATCTCTCTATACAACTTTTTCTGAAATTTTTTTTCCAAATCCAACTCTTCATAAGATTAAAACTGTTCATTTTTTAGGTGTTTGCAGCATTGAGATTTTTTGCAACTGGTAGCTACCAACTGGACATTGGGATGAATCGATTCTTAGCTATCGGTCAATCATCTGTGAGCAGATCAATTCATAAGATTATTGACATTCTCAACCGGAATGAAATTTTCAGTGAATATGTGTGATTTTTCAGAAATATAGATGAAGTTCGAGCATCTCGTGACAGGTGGATCTTGCGGTATTGGAAAACATTTAATTGTTTCTGTTTCTCGTGTTCCATAAGAACATTGATTCGTAGGTGTTTCAAAATATTCGGTTTTGACAATGCAATTGGATGTATTGATGGGACACATGTGGCCATTGTTGCTCCTCATGTCAATGATCCAATTCACCCAGAGAGTGTTTATGTAAACCGCAAAGGATATCACTCCTTGAATGTCCAACTGGTGAGTCAAGCAATCAACGAAGTTCATGTTCATTTTTATCTGAAATTTCTAATTCTCCTGCTCTAATTTTATCATATTATCTTCTGTCACATAGATCTGTGATGCTGACTGTAGAATTCTGAATGTCAATGCTAGATTTCCAGGCAGTGCCAATGATTGTGGCATCTGGAACAACAGCACCGTCCAGCCTCTAATGCGCAGGTTGCATAATTATGGTAGTGAACAATTCTATTTGCTAGGTAGAGTCAAATACTAATTCATCTAGGACCACCACGCACAAAAAACATTATTGAAAAACGTAGCAAATTTAATAGAAAGCTTTATTGGATTTCTATTGCGATACTTTTTGGCCGATTCCATTGAGGAATTTCGCAGTCCTACTGCCCCTTGTTTTGAGCCTCAGAAACTGTTTTATAAAAAAACTCATAGAACTCCTTCTACACAACTTTTTCTATTAAGAAATTTTCCACCGGAATTCCTCGACATGATTTTTCCAACTGTCTTTCCACTCCATCTGTCTCTTCTTTTCATTTAAAAAAAGTAAATAAAAAAAATGAAATTTGAGACGAAAAATTTTTATGGAAGATTTTCCAATACAATAAGTTGAGTATAAAAAGCGACCAAAATCTAATAATAAGCTCAATATAAATCCACAAAAATTTTTTTCCGCCAGCTTTTTCCGTCAAATTCCTTCATACGTGTCTCTAACTCCATCTCCACTCGCCACATAAATGAGATTAATTTAAAAAATTTGAGTCGAAATTCCTAAACTATTTCTAGGAGATGCAGGATATCCTCTGCGTCCCTGGCTTATGACACCCATCAAGGATCCATCGGATGATTTTCCAGAATCTGCTTACAACAAAGTTTTTTGCCGAGCGAGATCGACCATCGAACGTGTCAATGGAATACTAAAAATGAGATTTCGTTGCCTACTCAAACATCGTGTCTTCCACTACAATCCTACAACTGCTGCCAAAATCGTGAACACTTGGGCTATCCTTCACAACATGGCCATTATGGATGGCTTCGAATTTCCTGCTGGTGAGAATGAAACATATCAGGATAACGAAGATTATGGAATGTTCGATGATGAAGAGCTAGATGAGGATAATGTGCTCAGAGGACATGTCAATCCAGAGTTGGAAGCGGGTCGAAATGTCCGACGACGCATAGTTAGACGCTGGTTCACCTAAAGACTAGGAGCAGTTTATTCATTCCTTTAGCAGTTTATTTATTTCTGCAACTAACGGGAATGAATGGAGGACGAAGGAAAAACGATGAAAAATGTGATGAGAAAACTTCCCTTATTCCCTTGTACATTCAGCGTTAGGCTTCTAAAAATTTAATTGAAAAATCAAACTTCTGAAAATTAGATAAATTTAATTTAATTTTTTAAAGTACATTATGGATTCAAACAATGGAATTGGAATGAAGGAAAGTACATTGGAAAGCTCAATAAATAAATTTAACAGGATGTTCAGATGTATTTGGTAACTTTATTCTTTTTTTTTCCAATATCAGAAATACAACTTGTGAATGATACTTAAAAAATCATTTCTTCATATTTTTACATCAGTCCGAGCATCCTATTCTTTTATATTGAATAAAATCGAATGAAAGAACTTTGGAAACTTGTATTGAGAAATTTCTATTAAGAATATTTCAACAGGATGGGTTTTACAGAAAATCGACTACTATTAATATTTTCTATGAAAAATTTTTCATTGAATATTTCTATTGAAAACAAGCTAAAAGCTGAAAGCTGCGGAATATTTCAATTACATCACCAAAAACTGGAAAAAAACTAAATAGAAATGCAATAGAATTTGTTTAGCGGATTGCTTGGATTTTTCTATCAAATTCTCTTATTATTTTTCCTTGCATCCATCTTCCTCCGACGTACATAATCAATTAATAAAAATCTAAAAATTCTCTGATGCTGGATTATCACTGGGCTAGTGGACAAATAATCGATCATAGTAAAAAGAAAAAAACGCATCATAAAAAAAGAGAACAAGAAAATTTGAGGACAATCACCATGGATAATAAGTGAGCTTGTTGCTAAGGTTTCTCACAATGTGCGTTTGATAGATCTTGCCCCGGGCCTCTCTTACAAGGATAAACAGTTTTTCATCATTATAGCTCTTTTTCTCTTCCAAATCTTTATTCGAAATAGTGATGATATTCTCGGAGTTTCTTAGGGATGCGTCCTGTCGCTGAACTGCCCTAGATCGCTTCTTACTGGGAAAGGCTACAGTAAAGAGGAGGAGATTAAAATTGGAATGATTGCTTTCCATAAGGTATCGAAATAGCCAAATCACCTCACCTAGGTTTTCGCGTCTTTGGTAGGAATCAGGGACAAGGTGTGGAGAGGCTTTTCTTTTCGCACCCCCGAGGGCAGGGTCATTATTCGTCGATTCTAACAGTTGAGTCCCTATAATGGTTGGGACCCTGTCTCTGGCAGTGAGTGTTCGACTTTCGGGACTGAAGAGATAGTCTTCAGCAGTGAATCATCATGTTTTGGACTTGTGAACTTTGTCTCCAGTTGCACAAGATCAATTCCTGGAATGGATGATTCTTTGTTTGGTATCGAGGGGTCGGTATCCAACGTTTCATCGAAAGTAGGATCGGCTGTTTGGATTTCCACTGAGTTTTCATTGTTGACCTCCTCCAAGATAACCTTCTCATGATTGTCCAACCCTTCTGCAAGAAATGGATCGTTGATCTCATTTAGTAAAATGAGTTGAGTACGAAATTTCCTTCTTTTTTAGTTATTATCAGCAGACGAAGACTTTCGAATTACACCTGCCCCCCCCTGAAGAAAATTATAGGAACATTTTCCGTTGAGAATTCTGAATATGTATGAATGGGTGAAGGGGGAAAACGAATAACTATCGTAATATCGTAATCGATAATCTCAAATAATATATCCTTCACTTACCCTTTTCCACTGATCTCTAGTCTTCTGTGCACCACCAGGGACTGCATTGAGAACGGAGAAGTCCCATTTTTTGTTGACATTTTCTTTTGTGACTTTATCAGTTTTGAATTTTCCGCTGATTATTTCTGGATTCTCGGCAGCTAAATCTAATAACATTTCTTTTTGTCGCTCATTAATATTATCGGCCCGTTTGTTATCACCTTCCACTTTGACCTCTTTCTTAACTTTTCCTGACTTGTCATTTGCACTCATTTTGATCATTGAAATGATTTTTGGATCATTGACTATTTTTTACCACCGCAATGTTTTGGGACGTGTGAGTGAAATTCCCTGTTCACCTGTGACTTCCGTCAACGAAGTCGATTCACAGGTGAATATCGGGATACGTATACGAAAGTTTGCGTTCCCGTCTGAGATCCGTGAATCAAGTCACATTCACACTGAAATCCGTTTCACATCGCGTCGTGAATAAGGGCCCAGTCGGGATCCGAAGCCCAACCACCCTTTCGAGCCCCCAACCCGTTTCCAGAAGCTAAAAAACCCGATCGGACTGGGATTCGAACCCACGACCTCCTAGTGGCCAAGCCGAACTAACGATTTAGCCACCGCGACCATTGGACGTCGGTGAACTTGATTATTTGATTATAAGTTTTTTTTTTATGGCAATGCCATGGCAACGTCCCTCAGCAGCGCCATGGCAAACGGCCATGGCAACGCCCCTCAGCAGCGCCATGGCCACGCCATAGCAAAGGCCATGGCCGTGGTCATGAACATTTTTGTACGTGATATGAGCCCATAACCTATTGGATTTATGGGTAGGACTGAATTAATAATTCTGTGAATTTAATTTGACTGTGACTCTTTATTCAGTTGCACGTAAAGGACGCATCTCGATCGTCACTCCAACTCCGACTGTCGGAGACTAACTTCAGAAATATAAGGACCAGTACATTTGGACCTCTTGGAACGCATTTTCTCTTTGTCTGTCTTTTTCAAGAACTGAAGTCTGAAGAATTTTATCTGGTGACAGTGAAATATGTCGAGCTGTGTAGAGATTAATTTTTGAATACTATGTCGTTCCATGAAATCCAATAAGAAAGCTCTGCCATTTTACCCTTATTCTGCTTGGCCTTCCCTTATTCTGCTCTACCCTCGAGATTATCTTCCTTGCCTCGCAACATATGAACCTGATGACGTTTGAACCTCGCAAGATATTATCCTTGCATTATGTGACTATGGGAACGTTTTCCCTCTGCAAGATATTCCCCTTGTGATTTTTGACTCTCGCGAGCCATAACCTTTAAGAGATATGATCCTCGTGAAATTTGACCCTCGCGAAACAAATTACAATTACAAGGAAGCTTTCATTTGGAAGCAAAAAAAATAAAAAATATCATTTTCTATGGTGAAAGACCGAAAAAACTGAGTCTGAAAGCTTCGAGCTCGATTTTTAGCTATAAGCTGAGGTGCTAGCTCAAACATGATCTCTCTTTCGGAAAATGGAAATTTTGTATGGAAAAAATGTATGTTTTATTTTTTAGCAGACATATAAAATCTCGTTGTAAATAAATTATGGAAAAAAATCAATTCATAATTCCCTTCCTAATTGAGTTTAAGGTCTAAAAACTGAAGAAAAACATCTTTTCTGTGCAATTGACGAGTGGGCAAAATTGACTGATTGAAATCTTAAAGCCGAATGATCAGTTGATAATCGCTAAAATGTGCTACATATATGAATATTTGTTTCAGTTGTCACGAAGCAACAACACTTTCCACAGCGATATTAAGAATTCTCCCGAACTACTGTGTGACTTATATACTCCTCGCTCTAGTTATGATCGTAAACCCCATGCTTTACGTTGCTTCAACACGAGACCTGGAAACCGCCGTCACTTGCAGACTCTCGCAAATGACGGGAAGAGAGAGAAAACTCGTTAAAACGATCAAATTGAAGTTTGCGCTCATAAATATTGTTTACTACCTCTGTTGGCTACCAAATCTCATAAATGGAGTTTTATTATGGAGTTTATGGTTCAAGTTGCCGGTGAAAATTATCATCACCCTCTGGTACATTATGGTAAGCTGATTTATCAACATTCCAGTTTATCAATGTTGGAGATAGTTCATCCGCTAGTCCACTTTCTGTATGTATTATGAGGTTCAGAAAATTATAGAATTTATAATAATAATATTGGAAGTTAGATTTTTGATGGTGCTGAATTCGAATGCGAAGTCACTGTTTGCGAGTTGTGGTAGAGTCTATTCGTTTCCAACAATTTAATCGTTCAAATGTTGATATCACGGAAACGGTTGCAAATAGGAAAAAAAAGTTTCCTACAAAACATTTTTGATATGTAAAAATACACATTTTTGTTTTATAACTATTTTTTTCCCTAACTATTAGTAGATAAAAAGTTATGGGGCGGGGTGGGAGCGAAGCAAGTGGTGCGTTACCCCTTGCGGGAGATATCGTCGCGTTCCGATGGTCTTACCGGTAACTAGATAGAGAAAAACGATTCAAATAAACAACGTTTGCCATTCAATTTTAAGGGAGCATTCAAATATTACGTCACGCGTTTTTCGGATATTTTAGACCCTCCCCTCCCCCCTCCGTCGCACAGAGAAGAAAAGTGGATTAGCTTTAGAAACTAGTTTCTAGATTTTAGAAACTCCTGTTCTTAAGCTTTATCCTTGGTGGGATCGTAAAAAATAACCAATTTGGGGATTGTTTTTAAGAACTAATATTTTCTAAAAAATATCTGAGAAGCTAATAAAGATGGCGAATTTTTGAAATTTTTGAATCCCTTTTCCCCCTTAGTTTCTTAGATATTTTTGAAAAACTTACCGACTCAATTTTTTTGGTTGTGAGTTCTCAATGCACACAATCTACCCTTTCCTAAAACACCACTCTTTGTACAACCCCCCTCTTTACTAGCCCCCCCCCCCTCCCGGATATCGATACACCCCTTTTCGCCAAATTCCCTCAAAAATTAAACTTTCTAGATTTTGGAAAATATTGTTTCTAAAATTAAATATATTCTGGTTTAAAAGTAATCTCAATTTTTATCATTAATTTTAAACGATTTTTTTCTAAAACTTAGAAAAAAGTTTCTAGATTTTAGAAACCTGAAGGTTAGAAACCACGGTTTCTAAAATTTAGGAACTTTTTTCTAAAGCTAATCCAATTTTTTTTTCTGTGCACGACCGTCGCAACCGTGAACCCTCCTTGTATATTACGTCATAAAATCAACGACCCCTCCCCTACTTTATGTAAAAACAATTTTATATTTACTTTTTTCAAGTGCCGATTAATCAATCAATCAATTCGTTTATTGCTGATTTGTAGGTACAACCTTGATACAACGAAACAGTTTTTAGCGGAAAATAAGACAATTCCAAACAGTATAGTAGAAGAAGAACAGACTAATAGTGAAACATATGAGTAAAAAGCATGAAATAAAGTAATAATAATAAAAATAATGATAAAAATAAAAATATTGGAAAGGGAGAAGGGTCCGGCACTAAGAGACGAATGAGACAGAGAACAGGGCTCTGCACAAAGAAACAAGCAGGAGGCCGAGCCTATTCGACTGAAGAGATATGATTGTTTCTTTATGCGTTGTTAGTCTTTTTATCTTTCATCTCTACCAATTTCATTGGTAGTAAGCTTCTGAATGGATCCGTTGGAATTCTATTTTTTTTAAATAATAAGAAAATAAAATTTCTGTTTTGTGGTGAATAAAAAATGTCACTTTCTGTAAGACGCAAATTCTCCGATTTTCTCAATTTTCAAGTAAAACAAGAGGAAACTTCGTGCCAAACTTCAGATTAATATGTCTATTTTTCCCAAAGTTAGAGTGCTGTGACGTGTGGAGCATCCACACGTCGGAATTGTTTAATCAATATTTTAATAACAAAAGTATTTGCGGGTTCGATGCTGAATAAGCAGTCACACGGTGTAACAAGAGTCAACCTGAGCTCTTTGAAGGTAAAACCGTGGGAGTGCTTATCAAGCATTTTGGATTTGCAACCGCCTTGCGACTCTGCTCCAAGGCAGAGTACGGTGGGAGGCCGAAGTGTCCAGACGTTGGCCTTCCCCAAAAATCTAGATCCGCGTACGCCGAACCCACTTAACCCATTTTGTCGTGTAACCTTTCTATTAGTTAATTATATTCTCATGATTGGATAACTTGGAGTGTTACTGGTTATTTGGGAGAACCATTCCTAAATCTCCCTTCCCGATTAGTTTCCCCGTGAGCGAACGACCCGTAAGCTCACCGGTATCGCTAGCTAGGCGAAAGGGTCAACTGACGACCCGTGGATTTTAAGATACAACTAATAGTATACTAAAATCCCAAACGTCACAGTGCAAAGATGGATTTTTAGCGAAAAATCGAAAAATTGGAACTTCTTTTTTTTTGCACTCGTGAAAATATAACCTCACCGAAATCCAGATCTCAAACTGACAACAATTTATGCGAATCGGCAAAGAACTCCTTTGATTCATACCACAAAAGAATCACGCGGAAAAAAACAGGCAGACAACCACAGTCAGAGCTGGCCTGGTAACTACACATGACTCCCACTCAATAAATAAACGAGACAAGCACAACACACACGTCCGCCGCAGATAGCCGCCATAGGGAACTTGCATGGCGAGAGTGGTGTCGCCTAGGAGAAAAAATTCGTACTAAATATATACTTTTTTGTATGGGTTCTTACGTACAAAAATTTAAAAAAATTTTATTATAAATTGTTAAGAACTAATTCTAGTACGAATAATCATGGCGAAATCGAGGTTGAGGTGTTGCATCATGGGGTGTTCAAATACACTGCAGAGTGTTGACAATAATGAGCCAATAAAATTCTATTCTTTTCCTCTAAACAGTGTGTATAGACCTTGGAAACAACAAAAGCGTGAATTATGGATTAATGCTGTGAAAAAATACACGTAAGTATAGAAAATTCCTCTTCATGATGAAAAATGTTCAGTTAGGAGTTCCGTCCTGTTCGTTATGTTAGATATTTCTTATAAAATATGGAGTAAACAGAAAATTAAGGGAAACATAACCTCTTTACTTTAAAAAAAACACTGGAAAATTTCGAACCCAAAACCTCAACAAAAATTTGCAGTGCTTATTTTATTGGTAAGAAGAAATCAGAATATCCACAGCATCCTGGATACATCCCTACAATTTTCCCTCAACGGAGAGTAGTCAAAAGTGAGCAGCAGTCAATTGCCAGATTCCAACATCATCAAAACCGTCAACGTCAAAACGAAATACGCTATCAAAGACCAGTCACCTTCGATAATGCAGTAAACGAAACACAATTTGCCGGAACTCAGACTGCCTCGATTGATATGGATACGTATGTGTAATGTCTGGACAAGATGGATAGGGATTCAGGGAATAATAAATAAAGATTCCACTGATAAATATGGATAATAAAAGTATATTATCAGAAATGCGTGTTACTAATCTGCCATATTGGTTTAAAAGGCAAGTGGGGTCGGTAAGGCAGAGAATACATTGGTCAGAATACTACAATTCCTCCCCACTTAATAAAAAAAAACACATCTCAAAATATCAATATTCTTTCTTTAAATTTTTCATTAGGAAAAACTATTCTTCTTCGTTCTATTAATTAAATCACATTTTTCTTTTCCCTAAGATTACGAGAAATCGCTCGAGTCACACAATAGAATAATACTGACAATTAAACAATTCAAAAATTAAGACGTTGCACTGGTTTTGGTACTCGGGTAGACCTGCGTAATGCTGTTACGACTGGACTATCTCTCGGCTGAGAGAGTTTAACAACTGGTGTCACAACAGGAGGTACTGGCTCTGGAGAAGTTGGGGTCGATGATAACTCACCGGTTGGTGACTCCGATGAGAACGGAGAATTCATCTCAGAAAAAATCTTGTCAGAATGGGATGATCCTGCGTTCTAAATTTCAGATGTAGAACTCGATTCAGTTGGTAGGGAAAGACTCTTCGTTTCGCTTCTACTAGTCATAGAAGGAACAAGAGTCTTCTCTACACTGGAATTGGAGCTGGCGATGCTGGTTCCCAGCTCCATAGGACGATCACAGACCCTCAGATGATCAACGTGTCTCTTCCAATAGAAACCATCTCCAGTACCAATAGTGTACGTCACTGGAGACTCCTGATTAACAATCTCCCCTTGAGACCATTTCTTCTGCATGAAATCCTTGGCCATCACAGAATCCCCAATATCGAAAGATCGAACTCTGGACCCAGGTGCATAACGTTGTTGACGCAATTGTTGTTGTAAAACGTGATTCCTCAGATTTGGTCTCATCAAATCCAGTTTACTACGCATTGGTCTACCTAACTGTAACTCCGCTGGTGAACAACCCGTGGTATAATGAGGTGTTGAACGATAACTGAACAAAAATCGATTCAAAGCAGTTTCATTTGAGTAACCTTCCTTCAATAATAATTTGAAATGCTTTTTGAACGTCCTAACAGCATTTTCTGCTGCACCATTTGATGCAGGGTGATATGGAGCAGTTCAAACATGGAGAATTCCCAATTCCCTCAGAAACGACTCGAATTCATCAGATACCAAACTTGGTCCGTTATCACTGACAAGAACAATTGGGATTCCCCAAGTAGCAAAGTACTCCATAAGTACTGAAATAGTCTCTTTACTGGTGATGTTCTTCATCAACCTGACATCAATCCATTTCGAAAAAGCATCCATAATTATCAGAAACATTTTATCGTTTACTTGCAAGAAGTCAATGTGAACTCTAATGTTTGGACCTTCAGGCCATTTCCACGAATGTAATTCAGATCTAGGTGGATTACTTGAATTCTCTAAACACAATTTACATTGTTTAGTAATCTTTTCGATGTCATTATCAATACCAGGCCACCAAACATAAGATCTAGCTAGAGCTTTCATTTTAACGATACCCATGTGACTCAAATGAAGTTCTCTAAGAACCATACCACGAAGTGACTCTGGTACAACTACTCTCGCTCTGTACATAAGACAATCACTTTCACAATTTAATTCTTTCTCTTTCTTTTTATAAAGATCCATAGATTCATCAACTGATTCAGGCCAACCATTCTTAACATAATCAATCACTTTACTCAAGCTTCTGTCCTTCTTCGATTCATTACAAATAAGATTCGTGTCAATCAGTTTGACTTCATCTTCAATAAAAGTCAAAAGTAAATAATCATTTCTTTCAACAATTTCCTCCCCCACTAACATAGGAGACCTCGACAAACAGTCAGCTATAAAATTCTTTTTCCCTTCAACGTGTTGCAAGTCAAAGCAGTAAGCTGAGAGAAAAACTGCCCATCTCTGCACTCTTCCAGCAACCATAGATGAAAGACTACGAAAAGGATCGAAAATGTACTTCAGTGGTTTATGGTCTGTCTCTAAAATGAACTTCCTACCCCAAACATACTGATGACTCGACTTCACACCAAATACTAAAGCTAAAGCTTCACGATCAAGTTGTGAATAATTTTTCTCAGCTGGAGTGAAAGACCTCGAGAAAAATGCAATTGGTTTGGACTGATTATTTATCACGTGGGATAAAGGAGCTCCAATACCCATATTAGAAGCATCACAGGTGATTTTAATGGGTAATTGAGGATCATAATGAACCAAAACCTCACTAGAAATGAGTTTCTTTTTAATGTCATTAAAAGCTCGTTGATGCTTGATTGACTAAACCCATCTAACATTCTTTTTAAGTAAAGAGTACAGAGGTGAGGCAGTTTGAGCATAATTCCTGATGAATTTAGCATAAAAATTTGCCATACCCAAAAATCTGCTGAGTTCAGTTACATCCTGGGGTGGTTTCATTTCAACAATAGCTTCCACTTTGTCCCCCAACATATGACTACCCTGACCATCGATTTTGTACCCTAGAAATTTTACTTCAGTCTTGAAAAATTCACATTTTTCTAGCCTCGCAGTTAAACCTGAGTCTTTTAACTTATTTAATACTGCTAGTAATCTCTCATCATGTTCAGACCAAGTTGAGCCAGACACCAAAATATCATCGAAAAATACAATTACTCCTGGAATACCAATAAGTAATTTGTCCATCAACCTCTGGAATAATCCAGGGGCTGATGAGACTCCAAAACATAATCTTTTATAGGCAAAAAGGCCTTTGTGAGTCGAAATTGTTGTCAACAATTTCGATTCCTCATCCAGCTCAACTTGCTGATACGCATGACTCAGATCAATCCTACTGAAACACTTTCCTGAGCTAATTTTAGCTAGTAAATCAGGAATTCTAGGTATAGGATGTCTGTCGACTTTCATAAATTTGTTAATAGTAATCTTATAATCACCACATAAGCGTAATTAACCAGTTGTCTTAGCAATTGGAACCACAGGAGTCGCCCAATCGCTAGATTTAATAGGAAAAATGACATCCTCCTCTACCAATCTATCAATTTCTTTATCATCTTTACTGATCATGGCATAAGGCAGTGCCCTGGGCATAGCAAAAATAGGTTTGACATTTTCTTTTAATT